AGTGGGAGTTCTTGTATTCCTTGGTTTCTCTGGACAGCAAGCTCGGCCACAAATGGGCGGTTGGCTGTCGCGCCCGGGACAGCTCTGGCTTGGAGGCTGTGCGTGTATCCTTATGTCAGCGTTTGGGCGTGGCGGAAGAGTTTGTGCCTTTGCACAATCTGTCGGTATTTTTTGGTGAACACGAACGGCATGCCAGGTTGGCACTCGAGTATCCAGATGCCTTCGTATACAAAGATGTGGTGCCAGGTCCTGTGGTGGAGGCCTACGAGAAGACTTTCCAGGGCCAGGTGCTGCCGAAGACTGCGCACGCGTGTATCTCCGACAAAGAGCAAGGCTGGTATGCGAGAGCTTGCAGCGTGGCGTCAGCTGACCGTTGCATCGTATTCCCGAAAATGGCGGCGGACGCTTGTCTTGTTGCTGCGTATGTCATGTTAAAGTGCCAGGAGGTATTTCAGCGACAGTCTTGGTCCATGTCATTACTCACCAGTATCCAAGCCACCTACCAGAAGAAGTATCATCTGACAGACTTTGCGTTCTGGGTGTGCTACGGGAGTTGGTCCGCTTGCGAGGCCTGCGGTTCGTTCTTCTTCAATGACGAGTATTTCTCGAACCGTGTATATCAGGATCGTAGCACGTCGGAACAACCAGACATGCTGGCGGCGTATCGTCGGCAAGTACCGCAGGACCCGGTGGTGCACGCCTGTGGCCAAGTTGGTATATCTTCGAGATGGTGGTATAAGCCAGGCATGTACACGCCTGTGGTTGCCACATGCCCGTGCTGTTCTGGTAAAGAGACTCCTCTCGAGAAGTTCAACCGCCGTATGCAGAACCACGGGAAGGCCCTCAAGGTTGCAAAGACGTCGGAGCTGTATAGGATCCCCTTGGCGACCAAGTCGGGCTACGAGGCAAAGGAGTGTATCACCTGGCCTCGATATTCGTTTGGGCAGTTCTCGCTGGACCACAGCACTGGACCCTGTATGCACGAGATGACCGTCGACGAGTGTCGTGCTCTGAGCATCGTTGTCTTGAGGACCTCAGTTCAGCAAGAGAGGTATGGCGCTGCGCACCAGTTCAACTGGAAGAAGGTGGGCCTCTCGCGCGCGTACTTCAAGAAGGACCTCGTCTGCGAAGCCAGTATGCCTACCGATCGGTGCAAGGCTGCATTTCATTTCTTGAGGGAGCACAGCAAGTATTACCGCGCCTTTCTGACGGAACAGAGGATCCTCCTCCTCCTCCTCGACGACGACGACGACGACGACGACGAGAGCGACGGCGACGACGACGGCGACGACGACGACGACGACGACGACGACGACGACGACGACGACGACGACGACGACGACGACGACGAGAGCGACGGCGACGTCGACGACCACGAGGTCGACGCGACGACGACGACGACGACGACGACGACGACGACGACGACGACGAGAGCGACGGCGACGTCGACGACCACGAGGTTGACCAACAAAAAAAACAACAAACCATAAAATACAAAAACAAAAAAAAAAGGCTGGCAAACAAAATAACAAAAACAATACAATCAACAATTATTAATTGAAATAGGGCACATAACAAGTATGACAGTGGCTTTTTGACTCCCCAGAGGATCCGTATCGAGAACCGCAGCTCCTTGAATCTGTCCTCCTACGACCTCTTTGTTGTCCAGAAGGGTATCGAGTGTGCCATGTATCCCGTCTTGTACCCGACTACGGACTTCACTGATACGGGTATAATGGAGCACTACTATGCCCAGACCCAGGATAACACGAATCGTGTGGTATCCATCGGCCTGTCTTGGACTCGGAAGGTGCTGTCCAGTGCCCGCGTATATGGCGAGCAGCGGGACCTGCCGTTTTTCCTGTGCGAGAAGCATTTGGCCAACAAGTATTTCAATGCACAAGTCCGTGCCAAGAGCCTCGGCGTCACGGGGGACGTTATGGCTCGAGATTCGCAGGCCTCTGCGGGGTATTGGGAGATCGTGCAAGACTCCCTCGCTGATCTGGTGCGTATCATGCTCGTGCGCTGCTACGACGAGAAGAATTACGAGGCCCTGTATCAACGCTGCCGGAATCTCCGGGGACAGGTATGGCTGTGCACGCGCGCGTTGGGCACTGAGAGTTAGGATCATAGCGCCATGAGTCTATGAGCAATGCATGCGTCATCCTTGGGACTGTATAACATCAGTGTAACACATGTACTTCTGTAATCGCATCCCCACGAATTTGTTCCAAAAATGTGACCAACTATCTTGGCACTGCGTACCATCTCACGTGTACCGTGTACCACATCATATGTAACAGATGTGATCAACCTCTGTGGGTGTGTACCCCACGCCAGTGTAGTAGCCAGGGTCGTCCGCGCGCCACGAAGTGAAGTGTCCCAACGTCATAGGGCGGGAAGCTGGGTGTGGGTGGTCTCGAAGAGTCGTTTGGATATTTGGTAGAGCTTGAACGGCCCCCCCACGAAGTGGGGGTATTGGCTGGTGTCGCAAGAAAACCCTGGCACTGGGGAGAACACTGAGCGTTCGGGTAAAATGATTGTTGTTGTTGTTGTTGTTGTTGTTTGTTGTTGTTGTTGTTGTTGTTGTTGTTGTTGTTGTTGTTGTTGAACATTATTAATTCTAAAGAATAATTATTGTTGGGCCCCCTGGTGCACGCCCCCCCCTGCGCCGCCTAGGCCGCAGCTACATTTTCATCATTTTCGTGAGGAAGCCTCAGGTAATTCGATGTGATCAAGATCCGGTTGTTTTGTTGTAATCCGCTTTCCCTTGCAAAAAACACTATAAAATGACATTTCTTGTTCTAATATAATCAAATTTCAAGAATCCCTTGCAAAAAATAAGGTAAAGTGGACATTCGCGCGCGCAAGACGAAATCCTTCCAAAAGCTTAGTGTTCGGAACGATTTTAACATAAAAACATCAAAAAACCAATGGTTTTTCAACAAAAAAATGTCAAAATCTCATCCCGCGCGCTCTTGCGGATTCGTAGGAAAACCAACACTTTTTAAACATTTCTGTCAAACGGGCTTTTGCGAGCAACTTTTTCGAACTTCTGCGACAACGGTTGCGCACCTGCCAGGGCCATCATCCCTGTCAAATAATACCATGCGGGACACATTCGTTTTTTCTTCGCGCGCGCACGCCGAAATCTCCAAAAACCATTGGGCTTCTTAAGAATTTTAGCACCGCGCATCATAAAATCACACGAATCGCACCGTAGGTCCTCGAAAAACACCTGCACGACTTTTCAAAATTTCTACCCGCGCGCGCTGTCCGAATCCTAAAAAAACCAATGGTTTTCCAACATTTATGTTACATGAGCTCGCGCGAGCTACCATATGCATCATATGCATCATATGCAACAGATGTTCTGTGGAAGGCTTAACAACTTCTGTGGGTTCACAAGGCTTAACAACTTCTGTGGGTGTACGAACGTAGGCTTAACAACTTCTGTGGGTGTGTACTCCACGCCAGTGTAGTAGCCACGGTCGTCCGCAGGCCACGAAGTGAAGTGTCCGAACGTCATAGGGCGGGAAGCTGGGTGTGGGTGGTGGCGAAGAGTCGTGTGGATATTTGGTAGAGCTTGCACTGCCCCCCCACAAAGTGGGGGTATTGGCTGGCGTCGCATGAAAACCCTGGCACTGGTGAGAACACTGAGCGTTCGGGTAAAGTGATTGTTGTTGTTGTTGTTGTTGTTGTTGTTGTTGTGGTTGTTGTTTTTGTTGTTGTTGAGGTTGTGGTAGGGGTTGTGGTTGCTGTTGCTGCTGCTGTTGCCGCTGCTGCTGCGGTTGTGTTGTTGCTGCTGTTGTTGTTGTTGTTGTTGAACATTATTAATTCTAAAGAATAATTATTGTTGGGACCCCTGGTGCACGGCCCCCCTGCGCCGCCTAGGCCGCAGCTACATTTTCATCATTTTCGTGAGGAAGCCTCAGGTAATTCGATGTGATCAAGATCCGGTTGTTTTGTTCCCCCCCGCTTTCCCTTGCAAAAAACACTATAAAATGACATTTCTTGTTCTAATATAATCAAATTTCAAGAATCCCTTGCAAAAAACAAGGTAAAGTGGACATTCGCGCGCGCAAGACGAAATCCTTCCAAAACCTTAGTGTTCGTAGCGATTTAACATACAAACATCAAAAAACCAATGGTTTTTCAAAAAAAAATGTCAAAATTCATCCCGCGCGCTCTTGCGGATTCGTAGGAAACCCAACACTTTTTCAACATTTCTGTCAAACGGGCTTTTGCGAGCAACTTTTTCGAACTTCTGCGACAACGGTTGCGCACCTGCCAGGGCCATCATCCCTGTCAAATAATACCATGCGGGACAGATTCGTTTTTTCTTGCGCGCGCACGCCGAAATCTCCAAAAACCATTGGGTTCTTAAGAATTTTACCACCGCGCATCATAAAATCACACGAATCACACGATGTCGGAGATGTGCACCAACTCCGCTCTCTCTGTCTCTCTCTCTGTCTGCTCTCTGTCTCTCTCTCTGTCTCTCTGTATTATGTATTGTATGGCACAATTGCACCATGCTGGGCACATGCGCGCCCCGAATAAGTGACCAAGTTCTGTGGGTGTGTACCCCACGCCAGTGTAGTAGCCACGGTCGTCCGCACGCCACGAAGTGAAGTGTCCCAACGTCATAGGGCGGGAAGCTGGGTTTGGGTGGTCGCGAAGAGTCGTTTGGATATTTGGTAGAGCTTGTAATGCCCCCCCACGAAGTGGGGGTATTGCCTGGTGTCGTATGAAAACCCTGGCACTGGGGAGAACACCACGCGTTCGGGTAAAATGATTGTTGTTGTTGTTGTTGTTGTTGTTGTTGTCGTCGTCGTCGTCGTCGTCGTCGTCGTCGTCGTCGTCTTGCTTCTTACTGCAGATGCGCAGGGGGGAGGCGATGCACGCCACTCACTGGGACGGGGAGGGGGGGTCCCTTAGGAGACTCCGCAAACCCTGCCCGACAGCACTTGGCATCCCCCCACGCTTCGCCGCGCCAGTGGGGCACGGTGGCGGCTTTTCTTGCGTCCTCTCACCGCGGAGCTGGACACGCGGACGGCTCCACGAGACTGGGATGGGCCAGTGCCCTCTCGAGTGCAGAAGGGTCATGTCTTTGCCCAGCGGTACGGCAACGTGATGCCGAATCTAGGCAGCGGCCTTTACGAGCTAAAGTTCAAGGGGCACAACATGAGTGAGGGCGACTTCTTGAGTTGGGTTTGTAGCGGTGACAAGGATGGAGATACAGGCTGCCGAGGCCTGACGCTCTACGAGATGGGCACCTTCCACAGCAGCGGAGTGCCCTACATAGCTCGGGCCGGACGAAAGGGGGGGATTGGGAAAGGGGGGGTTACGAAATTTGCTGCATGCAACTGGTTTCGGCCTCACCGAGGGGCCCATTCCTCGATACATAGTCGCATCCGGCGCCGGGAGGCGCCGGGAAAATCAGCTACGTGAGCTGATTCTCAAACCCCCCCTTTGCTATCCCCCCCTTTCGCCCGACCCGAATAGCCCACCAGGACGACTGGGACTGGCTTGCGGTCGAGTGGGCCAGCATCACCGCACGGCTGCACGAGTACGCGCCGAAGGGTTACTACGTTGATATGTTCAGCTGGAGTCTGGCCAACGCTCACAAACG